TGTACACATGTGACTTTCACACTAGGCTCTGATGGTTGGCTTTTGAGGCCGTACAAAATAATAAAATAAAATAAAATAAAATAATAAAATAAAATCCTGCAAGCCTGAAATCTGCCTGCCCTTGATGTAGCTGTCTCTCCCCATTGCTTATGTTTTCCCTTGTCTTTATGTTTTTATTTTCAAGCTCTGTTAGCATTTCTATTTTATTTCTGGGTTGTGTTCCATATGGTTTTCATTTTATTGTAATCATCATGGTTGAAAGTAGGAGAGAAATGAAAGAATAAAGAATTGATCGTGGCCATTATTCCTAGTGTTTGTGTCTGAGTGTAGTTGCCCACCTGTGCCTGCAGAAATCCAGCTCTCTGGCTCTCTAAACCCTCAATAAATAATAAGCAAGCAGGAGAGAGGCATTAGCAGGCTGGGAGGAACTCAAGATCTGCAGAAGTACAAAAGTTCTTGGGGGGCAGTGATACTAAGGAAGAAGACCCTCTGAAATGAATGCTGGCAAGACTATTGGGGTTTGGAGGACACTGAAAACTGGCAAACTGGGTAGGGTAATGGAGTATCACAGAGCATGGCTGGCTGGCATTCTGAAAACTGCCTGATCACAGAGCACTCCAGTATCAGAGGCAGCATTCCTCTGCCTCGGTTGCTGGCGAATATCAGCCGGAAGGATCTGCCTCTGCCTCATTGCTGGGGTATATTGGCCAAAAGGATCACGTCCTGCCTGCTGGACCAGACAGGTTCAAGCCCTCATCCAGCATGGTTGCTGCTCCTGCATTCTGCTGCATCTATTGCTGCAGGGCCCCGCATGTTCTTATTTTGATAACCGCCAATTAATTGTGTGAACAATGGGGCCCATAATCCCTGGCAGGCTGTGACTGCCTGTTCCCTCCCCGCACCCCGGTGAGATCAGCCACCCAGTCTTCCCACTGCCCCCGCCTTCCACCCCCTTCCACCTCGGCACAGGAAGGAAGAGCAGCTCCCTGCTGGGCCCTGAAACTCATGTGCAGGTGGATGTACCTGGCCACTCTTACCAGGTGGCCTTGCACTCCTGACCTCCCATTTGCAGAATTCTTCGCAGTTTCTTTCAAAAGAGCAGCAAGAAAATGAGCAGCAAGAAAGCAACATAGAGTAGAAACATTCCTCAAAGTGGCACCTAAAACCATAGAGTGGGAAGGGGCCATGAAGGCCATCAGGTCCAACCCCTGCTGTTGCAGGACACCAAGTCACACCCTCCCACCCAGAGGGCTGTCCAGTTTCTTTCTGAATGTCTCCAGTGTGAGAGAGCCCCCACCTCCCCAGGCAGCTGGTCCCACTGTCGTGTTGCTCTGACAGTGAGGAAGCTTTTCCTGATGTCCAGCCTGAATCTGGGTAGTTGCAGCTTGACTTGATTATTCCGTGTCCTGCACTGGTATCAGTGAGGACCTTCCTATTTGTAACAACCTTTGAGGTATTTATAGAGGGTTATCATATCCCCCTTCAGTCTTCCCTGCTCTGCTCTGTTCTGCTCTTCTCTTTTCAACATATTAGGACTCCAGCTTCGTTACAGATGAGAACTGAAAGTGCAGCTGCTGGGTAATTAAGGGACAAATCCAATTTACACAAAACATACTCTTGATACAAAGTGGAAGCTGAAAGCTATGTGCTTCCAACATGGCTAGTGTAACTCATGTTAGAATTCTCTAGTTTCTGACTTCCAGTTTTCAGAAAGAGCGCAAGCCATGCTATTTGCACAAATCTTCACAAATATTTATGCAAATTGCACAGTTTGCACATATTTGCTTAGTTGTACAAAATGCACCCTGTCTTAGAGAAAGAAGTCCATGGGGGAAAAAACCTCTGACTTGACCTGCTTCCAGTCATCAGATGGGAAGTGGGCAAGAAAAGCACGACGCTCAAATGAACCTGCAGATGACTTTAAAAGGGGCCTCGAGGCCACCAGGATTATAGAAACAGAGAAAGAGAGCGAGCCAGAAGGGGTCTCCCGGGCCATCTAGTCTGACCCCCAGCTCTAGCCAGCTCTATTCATGACATGCCCACCATGTGCATGTCCAGTCCGTCCTTGAACACCCTCGCCAATGGGGCCTCAACCACCTCCCATTAGGGGTCCTAACCGTCAGGAAGTACCCCGATTGAACCTTGGTTCCCTGAGCTTTGCTCCACTGGAACGCACCCTGCCCTCCACTGCAGGGGAAAAACGGTCATGACCCACCTCTGTGTGGCACCCCCTCATGCACCTGTATGCCGCTAGCAGGTCCCCTCGGAGTCTCCTCCCCTCCAGGCGGAAGAGACCCCGCTCCCTCCGTCTCTCCTCATATGGCTCCCCCCGCAAACCGGCCACCTTCCCCGCGCGGCCCTTCGCGGCACCGCTCTCGGCACCTGCCAGTCGCGCTGGCCGTGCAACATCTCCCGGGTCCGAGACAACGAGCCCCTGCATCGCCGCCTGCCTGGGCAGCGTGAGCAGGAGGGCACCGCCTCGCCTGTGCCCTGCCTGCCCATGGGCTTCCAGGAGTGTCCAGCCAGATTCTGTGGGAAGCAAGGTGCAGGCGCACGGGGCCCGTGGTCTGATCCTGCACGGCTTGCCCAGGGTCTGCAGCTCTGCAGGTGCTCCTGGCCTGCAGCTTCTGTCAGCCTCGAGCAGCGAGGGATGAGCAGCGAGCTGCGTCACAATGTTCTGGATGGATCAATGAGCTGGGATCAATTCGCTCGTCTTCACAGTGCTGCTCGCAATTTACGAAGCCGGTGGGGAACTGTTCCGGGAACAGTTTCCTGCTTTGGCCGAATGCACAGGGCTGCACAACGCTTCCCTTCCAGGGGACTATTGACTCTTTTGCCCAGCCTTCCTCTGCCGGCAGAAGAGGTGTAGTTTCGTGCTGTGAACATTTGCTAAGATACTTCTGGAAGCGGCCTCCCATAGCCGGCTTTCCCCATGAGAAGACAGTACTTGAGATTCACAATGCCTTTCCGGAGCCAGCTTATCGGGAAGGAGCGCATGTGGCACCTGCAGAAAGTGCTAGTGCTCAGAATGACGTCCAGTCCCCACCAGCCCTAAGGTGCGGCGCTTGGTCCCCTGTAGCGGCAACCTCCCCCCCGCCAAGCCGTTTCTGTCCAGTCCCCGGCCAGTGGCATGTTGATGCCGGTTAGCTAATATCCTCAGATCCTCAAATATTTTCAGCTTGCAAACCAGGCAACAGCCTTTAGGAAAGGTCAGCTTCCATGTCCCACGAGGATGCTCAGAACAGCACTGACTCATTTCTAGTTGTGCTGTCACGACTCACTTTAATAAACCAGAAATCCTGGACTCTGTCTTTTGTCCCTTAAAACAAAAGCTACTTTTTGCTGGCCGAATCCCAAATAGATCAAATTATTTCCTTAGTTGAATCAACTGTATGGAAGGGAAAGGGTAGCAAAGTTTCAGTTTCCACAGAACTCTTCTTCAGGCCGGAATAAAGTGTGATTTCATCTAGGCATATAAACATGGGAGATATGAACAAGGTTCATACTTAGCTTGGAGCTGGCTGAACCTTGAACCCAAAACTATGGCCAGCTATACCTGACTGAACTGAAGACCTGGACCTTGTAAATTTAACGTTTACTGTCTAAGATAAAGATTTCATCTAATAGGGTTTGTTTGATGAATTCAGTCTTTGTGAATTCTGGTGAAAACTGATTACTGGACAAGCTGCAGAAGGTAATCCCATAATGCTTTAAATTTTGCACTTCTCTGACTTTTGTAATGCACATTTTGCCTCAAAGTTCGTATCAAAATACATTTGCAAATGTATAGTGTATGATAAATAAAATGCTTAGAAATGTGTACATTTTGAAAAAATACCCCAGGAAGTGTCTATTTTATGAAAAATTTTATGAAGTGCCTCTTATGAAAGAGAACATGAAAAATACATTTATATATGAATTTTTATGCAGGCTTTTAAAAAATCTGCATATTCTTGTGGAAATGGGATGGATTGGGGTTTGTGAGGGTGTGACTGAGTTTCATCTATCCAGGTGGAACCAATATCACGCGCTTCCCCAACCCGGTGCCTTCCGAATGTTTCAGAACCCACTCCCAACATTCCCGACCCCTGGCTGTGCTAGCTGGGAGTGAAGCCCAAAATATCTGGAGGATGCCAAGTCAGGGAAAGGTGCTGTACCACCTTCTTCTCCTGCACTGCCTTCCAAGGAATTTGGGGAAACAGCAACATGGTCATCCCAATTCATCCTCCCAGCATTCCTAGCAAGTGGGTCAGACTGAGGAATCGTGGCTCCTTGAAGACTGGCCAGTCACTTCCCCACCACGTCTGTGGAATTCCCAGCCTCTGGAGGTCGGCACACGCAGTTTTGGCACCTACTGAACACGTGTTTGCTTTCCTTTTCCTTTTCCTCCGGGCAGTGCATGCCCCTTGAGATCCAGGATATTGCCATGCTGGGGAAGGGGAAAAGGAAAAGGAAAAACCGCTGTATGAGTGCCTGGAAAGAAAGTGAAGTAGGGCTATTGTCAGACCACCTGAGTTTGAGTTTTTTGGTCTGCACTGCAGATCTGGCAAAGGGGAAGAAACCCCCCCCCCCGTTCAGTCCCCCTCCCCACTGCCCCCTTCCCTGCCTGGTCAGCAGAGATCCTCTTCCCCTCCCTTGGGCTGCGGAGCAAGAGGAGGAGCGGCACAGCTTGCAGCTTGCCGCTCTTGGCAGAGCTCAGACGCCTCATCGGCTGCCGCGGGGGCTCGTGCAACCGGCTCCTTCAGCCTCTGGCTTGCATTAGCCGCGCTGCTGCGGCTGACCTCTGGATGCTGGGGCTGCCGGAGGCCGCTGGGGCTCTGCGGGGTCAGGGAGTGGCTTCACCGACCAACCGTGACACGGGAGAAGGGAGGATTCAACAGGTCTCCATCCTGGAGGAGAAGTGACGCGCCCAGGCGAAAGGGCGGGTTTTCCCGGAGGGGCTCAGGAGAGGCAAGGCTCCCCACTCCGAGGGGCAGTGTCCCATGAAGTGGCCTTTCTCTATGGAGGAGGATGCGGCCAATGCCACCCCTTGCCCCAGCAGCTTTGACCTCGGGCCGGCCAATGCTTCCGCTGGCTGGCCAGAGATGTCCGGAGGCGGCCCCGAAACGGTGATCGTGCCAGTGCTGTTTGGACTGATCTTCTTCCTTGGCCTGGTGGGGAACAGCCTGGTGCTGGTGGTGCTGGGCCGCCTCCGGCCGGGGAGGCGGCCCTCGCGGAGCGCCACCAACATCTTCATCCTCAACCTGAGCATCGCGGACTTCTCCTTCCTCCTCTTCTGCGTCCCCTTCCAGGCCACCATCTACTCCCTTCCGGAGTGGATCTTCGGAGCCTTCTTCTGCAAGTGGGTGCACTACCTGGCCACGGCCACCATGCTGGTCAGCATCTTCACCCTGGTGGCCATGTCTGTGGACAGGTACATCGCCGTGGTGCATGCCAAGCGCTCGCTCTGCATCCGCAGCAAGCGCAATGCCTGCCTGGGCGTGGGGGCCATCTGGCTGCTGTCCCTGCTCATTGCTGTCCCAGTGGCCCAGCACCAGGCCCTGGTGAGGGGGCACCAGCAGGCGCCCAACAGCTCCTTCTGCTGGGAACTCTGGTCCGACAACCCCGCCGCCAAGCAGACCTACAAGGTGGCCATCCTGGTGGTGGGGTACCTGCTGCCTCTCGTGCTCATCAGTTGCTGCTATGCCAAGGTGGGTGCGGATGGGGGCGGGGGGGAGCGGATGGGGGCAGCAGTGGCCGGTGGACCTCCCAGGTGCGTCTCAGCCGGACGTCAGGTGCTCCTTGGAGCACCCAGGTAATGGTCAGCTCCAGAATATGTGAGAAGATCGTGGAGAAGCCAGTCCCCTCCTGAGGATGACCTTACCCTAAGGAACCGCTCGTGCTTTCAGCTGTGGGGTGGGGGAGGGGGCTCAGGTTTGCTCTGCACGGCTAAGCCAGGAGCAAGACCTTCTTTTGATTGTCTGCCGAGATTCAGCTCTGAAATAGGCAGATGGTTCACAGAGAAGGCAGTGCCCCAGAGCATACACAGAGAGGCATCCCCTTGTCATTAAGGGACAAATGCCAGCCGATTGGTACCTTGAATGGTGGGGTTGGGAAGGGTGGCTCCAGCGCTTTGGGCTTTCCAGCTTAGGTTAGGCAAAAGCCTTCCTGCCTAAGAAACAAACTCCAAATCCCTCGTCGTGTCACGAGTGCTTGTACCAGGTTTGCACAGGCTCCTGGCCGTATCCCAGGAGTCCGGACTGAGACCTTAACTTACAGGTTCTCGTTCTTGTCTCGAGCATCTGTGACTGGCCAAGCCTTGCAATGCAGGGGCTGTGAGTGGGAGATGCAGGCGAGGGGCGAATGGAGCGGCGCTCCAGTGCCTGGGAACATTCTGAGAACCTTTGCCGGCCCACAAATGCATTGCAAGACCGTTTGCATGTGTTCACCCATCTCAGGAGTATAAAACCACAAATGCGCTAATTCAGCTGCACACTGCTGAGCAATTAGAACCCTTGAGGGAAAATGAGAACAGTCTCGAAACCCTGGAAATTGCAGGACCCTCTGCATGCGCAAAATTAGATTTCTGATTGATGTATGTGTAAGCAGCACTGCCGTGTGTGTTGAGGGGACCAAGTATTATGGTTTGATCCAACTGCAAATACTTTTTCAGATGCTTCCATGACATAGTTCTCTCTCCCTCCCTCCCTCCCTTTGCTCAACTTCCCTAGCTGATTTTTAAATTATTTTTGTTAATTGTGATTAATTTTTAACGACGTGTGGAAAGCTGAGCTGTTTATGGTGATGCCAATTTGTTTGTCAGTTGTAATCCCAGTTCTAGGGATGTAAAGTTGATTTAAAGATGGATCTGAGGATGGCGTGCTCTTCCCTGGACAACAGGGTTTTGCTCCCCATCCCCTTCAGACAAAAGAAAACTGTCTAATGTCAAGGAAAGTATCTGGAACATAAACTGAAGACATTTATGAAAGGCGATTTAGGGTGGCAATTTCCATATTTCCAAAACAAAAAACAAAAAAGCAGAGGGACAAGAGAGGACATGCATTTGCATACAATGTGCTTTTCCTTTCCTGCTTTAGTTAAACAAGATGGGGTTGGACAGGGCTTCAAATAAATGCTGTCTTCAGAGGACTCTCCTCAGCAATACAGGCCACAGGGCAGCTTATGGGACTACGTCTTCTCCCGCCCGAGAATGCCTGTGCCCAGACTTTTTGTCAGCTCCATCGAAACTCAGATAAGGAGCAGGGCTGGGTTCTCCATCCCGGTGCTTTTTCCCTCACCATTTTCACATGTTCTCTCTCCTTTGATCTTGGGCAGGCTTCCTCATTGCTTTAAGAGCGATTTTCCCCGCGCACCATTTTCTTGCAACCCCTTTCAGAGCTTCCTCTGCTTTGATCTCCCTTCCTCTGGGAGACTGTCTTGTCTCAGTTTCTCTTCTACATTTCTTTCAGCATCGCCCAATATGTGTCCCATGTTCCTTACACCTGCCCTTGCAGCTCCTCTAGGCAAGGGTCGAGCGAAAGATCTATTTATTTACTATATTTTTTCTTTCCAGGGAACTCAGGGCAGCCTCCTCTCAGCCTTATCCCCACAACAATCCTGTGAGGTAGGCTGAGCTGAGAGTCTGTGACTGGCCCAAAGTCTCCCAGTGGCTCCATGGCTGAGTGGGGACTAGAGCCCAGGCCGCCTGAGTCCCAGGCCTACTCTCCAAACCACTGCACCGCACTGCCTCCCCCAGCCAATTTCCTGGCTGCTTGCTAAAATTCCTGAAACGTATGCCAAACCCCCTGGCCCTTGACGCGTCGTCCAGCAAAACAGGCAGCTGCTCGGCCTCTTCAGAATGCCTGCATCCTCAGGATGGCTTAACTCAGCCTTCCCCAACCCGCCGCCCACCAGATCTGTTGGACCACAATTCCCATCATTCCAGTCAGGGTAGCCAGTGGCCATGAATGATGGGAGTTGCAGTCCAGCACAGCTAGAGGACACTGGGTGAGAGAAGACTGACTGAGCATTCGATTATTACGTGATACCGAGCATGCCTTCTCGTGATTTGGGAAGACCGAGGGGAACATGATAACCCTCGAGAGCACGAGTCCTCAAACTATGGCCCGGGGGCCGGATCCGGCCCGCCATGCCCACTTGGACCCACCATGGGCACGCCCGCGCCCACGTGCGTGCCCGCCACTGCCCACCTCGCTCCGCGCGCGGGGAGGCAGCGGCTTGCTCGCTCGGAGAAAACGATCTCCAAGCAAGCAAGCAAGCAAGCAAGCCGCTGCCTCATGTGCCCGCCTCGCAGTGCATGCCTGCCCCCGCCTCCCCTCGCCCCGCCTCGGCGTGCGCGCCTGCATGCACCACCCCCGCGCGCACCGCTGGCACCGCCTTGCCGGCCCACGCCCAGCACCGGCAGCTTTCAACGGGCCCCCGATGGAAAAGTTTGAGGACCCCTGCTCTAGAAGTCCCTCAAAGGCTGCCACAAAGAGGGAGGCCAAGATCTCTTCTGGCTGGTGCCAGCGTGCAGGGCACGCAAGAATCAGCTCACGCTGCAAGAACCGAGATTCAGGCTGGACATCGGGAAAAGCTTCCTCACTGCCAGAGCAATATGGCAGCTGCCTGGAGAGGTGGGGGGCTCTCCCACACTGGAGACATTCAAGAAGAAACTGGGCAGCCATCAGAGCCAATGGCCTTCAGAGCCCCTTCAAACTCTACTCTTCTCTGATTTGGAAATGTAAGAAAAAGCTTGTAAACTGCTCGGAGAGCTCCGGCTGCTGGGCGGTACAGAAATTAAATAATCCATAAATGCATACATAGCAGAATGTGGAATGTCTCATACTGAAATAAGGAACCATGTAAGACTAAAGCTGACCCTCACCTGCAAGTGTGCACCTGTACATGCAGCCCACTGCTCAGTACGGGGTGTGGATGGAGGCCCCGATCCAGCTTGACAAGTGGCAGCCCTCAGTTTAAAGGCATCCTCCAGTCCAAGTCCAGTTTAATGATAATGAGGCTTTCTAGACAAGTCATTTACTCTGTGGGTGAGATCTCACTCCTGGCAGTTTGCAGGTGCTTTACAGGATGTGAGGAGCAATTCCGTAGTCTACCCTCCAAGCCTCATCGTCAGTGGGTCCCAGAACCAAATCTCCCCTGTCAGCAGTACTTTTGCTAGCCTGTCGTTCACCTGGAGTATTTTTCTTTCTATTTCTCTTCCAAGAACTGGGAGGACGGATGAGAAAAGTCCCTGGGCCCCAAAGTTCTCGCACTTCCTACCCAAGCCATCCAACTCTGATGTGATTTCTTTCAGCTCCATCTGGTGGCATCGTTTGTTCCCAGGTGGATTCGAAGAAGCAGACAGGTGTCTGTGGGCTTTATGGGCTTGGCCATCCTTCAGCCACATCTCCAGCCTGAGCTCCAGGGAGACGGCACCCCTGGTGGGCCCAGGCGGCGGTGTGACGCACCCGGGCAACAAGGAGGCCCCACACTGCCCGCCAGCCTCGTTTCTCAGCAGCTGCCCTTCTGCGTCTCGCTCCCGTTGCCCTTGCGATTCTTCCTCCGCAGGCTGCCCCCTAGAGCCATTCTCCCGGAGCTGCAAGAGGCGACTCGCGAGAGGCTGTTGTCGCTTTTAAGTGGGCAGGTAGGCGCCGGATGCCTGGCAACTGCGTGCAAATCGGTCCGTGCTTTCTGCGCTCTCCTCCCACGGACAGCGGAAAGAGGCAAGGGAAGCGGCGCGCCTGGGCGCGTGCACGCCTGCGCCCGAAGGACGGGCCAAAAGGGCGTGTTCCCAGAGGGCCCCCCCCCCCCCCCGCCCGAGCCCTTCCTTTTGAGGCACAGAAATGTGGAAAGTAAAACGCTGGCACACAAATAGCAGTCCTTCTGAAGGTCCATTTGGGGACCCGCTGCAGGACAGTCACGGGTGAGGTTGTGACAGTGAGGGCCGGGTTTCTACCCGCATCGTGGCCATCCTGACAGCCACCCGGTGTAGTCGCTCTGCTGGGTTTGGACGACAGAACCAACCATTGCAGGCAGGAAAGACCCCAAAATGAGCCTCAGGGCGGCTTGTGCAACTCGCATCCAGCGTGTGGTCCACGCGTACAGTAATTCCGCGATCCTTCTCACTCGCAGGATTTCCCATCTCACGGTGATGCGCTTGGTTTCTTTTTCCTAGGCACAGACTTGGCATTGGTCCCTATTGAGTTTTATTTGGTTGTTTTCAGCCCAGGACTCTAACCTAGCAAGATCACCTTGAATCTTCTTCCTGTCTTCCGGGGTGTTAGCTACCCCACCCAGTTCTGTCTGTCTGCAATTCTGATAGGTGCTCCCTGCACTTCCTCATCCGAATCATTAATAAAAACGTTGAAGAGCCCTGGGCCCAGGACTGAGCCCTGCGGGACCCCACCTGCTACCTCTCCCCAGTCTGAGAAGGTGCCGCTGAGGAGCACTCTCTGAGTCCAGTTCTGTAGCCAGCTGTGGATCCATCTGATCGTTGTTCCATCCAGCTCACTTTTAACTAGTTTACTGATCAGGACATCATGAAGTATTTTTCAAAAGCTTTGCTGAAGTGAGATAAAAGACAAGGGTTGTTTCATATGTGAAGACACTCCCTTGGAGGAATGGCTTTGAGGAGTGTCATGATGAACACCTTCACTCCAGAATTTTGCCACCAAACTCACTTTATTAAGTTTTTGTCCAGAACTGCAGCATGTCCCATCCCAGATACTGCCAAAGGGGTAGTGAGCTGCGGCTCTTAGGATCAGTGCTCTGGGACTTCGGGATTAGCAGGGAGCATCATTCGACACACTCTTGGGTTTCCCTCTAAATGTAGCTGCAATCCAGATAGAGAAACACAGAAACAAACACAGAAACAGAGCGAGTCAGAAGGGGCCTCCCGGGTCATCCAGTCTGACCCTTGGCTCCAGCCGGATTCATTCACGACATGCCCACCATGCGCATGTCCAGCCTGTAGAGGCTTAGGAGAAAAGATTTTTGCCCACCAGAAATGTACTCTTGCAAGAGGTCCCCGTTGTAATGCGAAGCATTTGGGGTGCCCTGGCCTTGAATGGGCAGGACTATTCCTGAAAGCTGTCAGAAACAATTCACCAATAGGAATCAATACCGTTGCCTCCGATTTTGGGTTCTCCTTAGGGAATGTGGCCTGATGAGCCCTTGCGCTGCAAAGGGGACCACAAGATTTGCCACTGCGCAAGGTTTGTCCGTCATCTGCCTGTCCGGTCCTCAGGCCCTGCAGGGGCTGCTGTGGGGAGCAGGGGGAATCCCACTTCTGCCCACACCGTTGAGCCACTGCAACTATGGAATGGCAGCATGTTGGACTCAGGGTTCAGACCCCGGCTAACCTACCAGGCAGGGTTGCTGTGAGGATAAAGTGGGGATGTGTGGGGAGAACGGTTCTTGCTGCCTGGAGCTCCTCGAACCAGCCCTGTTTTGGAGCGGCCAACTTTGTCCAGTGAATTCACGTTCTCTTCCAACCACATAATTCTACAGCGGATCAGCCTGGACATTACTTTGGCTTTCTCTGCTTCACTGCTTTGGGTGAGCATGCCAGCAAGACACATAAATGTTGCATTTAATAGATGGATTTTCTTTTAATTAATTGGCTTAAGTACTTTAGGTCTCCTAGCTCTAATAGTTAAGTACATTCATTGCTTGGTTACGGTGGTGCTGTAACTGCGTTTTCAAAAGGTTAATCTAAATTTTGTTGGAGTGCTGGATAAATTTCCCCCTCTTAATGGCTTTCTTTCTTTTCCTTAAAATCACCTATGAATTTGTCTACAAGATTCTGAATCTGAAACAGAACAAAACAGACAAGCAAAACCTAATAGCGAGGTGATTGCCCCAAAGCAAAGAGCAGGCAGTTGAGTACCAGGAGCCACCTAAGGAAAGGGAACACCAAGATTCTTCCTGGCCCTGCTGCTCCCGGCAGCAGAGGCATGCCCTCCCATCAGCCATCAACCAACAATGCACCAGTAAATAAAAAATAGGTTACAAAGGATTGTATTTTGGAAAAGAAAGAAAGGAACAAATGGGAAATACTAAAACTTCTGGAAATAAAGTACACAAGAAAGGCATTGTGCTGCCTGGGGATATTAGGGCAAAATGGCAGCCCTGTACGGAAGCCGACTGGGGCGCAGTCGAATTTTGACTTTGCCGGTGGTGAGTGGCCAGCATCTTCCACTGCACTGGGGGCACCAGGCTAGCTGGGGGCAGTGCTGCAGGGCAGGTTAAGTGGCTGGAAACCAGCTCCGAAAACTCCAAAGAGATGGCAGTCTGGGCTTTCCAGGTTTTGGTGGCCCCTCAGGCAAGGTTCGACCAACTGGCCTCCTCCCTTGGGCAAGCCTACATTTCACCGCCACTGGCACCATCCACTGCTCTTGCCCCATATCTTCTTTCATCTCACTGGTGCCACTTCCATTCTTGGCCCGCAGGAAGCCTGGAAACAAGCCTGCAGGGACTTGTCTTGCCCCTGCTCCTCCTCCTCACCATCACCATCCTCTGAGCCGGTGGACAAAGCAGGTGAACCGGCAGGTGGCAATGGGGAAGGCGGAGCAAGTCCAGAGGTTGTCCCACCAGGCCCCCGCAGGTACCCAACCGCGCCCCCCTGTATGTCAGCCCTGCCAGTACCCACCCAAAGGTACCAGGACTGGCAGTGAAAAATGCCCCTGGTAGAGTCCTTCTGTGGAAGCTGGGGCTCTCAGCTGCACCATGACAGCACACACACAGCCCAGCGCCTTTGACCTCCCCCTTGCCTTCTGCCTGGTGTTTATGGAGTTTGGGGGAGGTTCCAAAAATACACCAAAATAGTTCAAGGAAAGCCCTAACGTAGACTCCCTCCTGAGACTCAAATGCAGTTCTGAAGTGCTGGAGGCAGCGAAGCCAGCAACCTCCTCCGCTCCGACCCTCCTGCTATCCAAGGCAAATCCACAGTCTGAGTGTCTGCAAGTCTTTGAACATCCCCAGAATGAAGAGCCTTCCATTTTTGCAAGGTTCTCTTTACAAGACAGGGCTCTCTCCAGTTTGTTCTTTGTGATAAAAGACCTCTGTGCCAGACGTGTGAGCGCAAGGGAAGCCCTATAGTGTCCGAACATCTTGGACACTGACTTTTTCCCCACCGTGGCCAAGTGGAGGTAATTTCACCTTCTCTGCAGCACCTGAGGTTAACTGCCTGAAAGTAGTTTGCACACGTGGGTGTTTTGCTAATAAAAAGGGGTTGGAAAAAGCCAGGGCAGTCTTAGCTTTATCTGGGATTAGGAAGCAAAACAAGGCTTTCTCAGTCCCTGACCCCTTCCCTTGGTGGTCCAGGCAGTTGTGGGGAAGCATCTCCTCTTCAAAGCTGTTACAGGCATTGTTGGTGCCTTGAAACAAACATTTATTATTGTTATTGTCGTTATTATGATCATTACACGGCATTTATAACCTGCTTTTCCCTCTTCTGTAAGGAATTCAAGGCTTGCCTAGCTCCATTTTATCCTCACAGCAACGACCCTGTGAGGGAAGTGAGACAGAGTGACTGGCCCAAAGTCACCCCGTGAGCTCCATGGCCAAATGGGGACTGGAGCCTCGATCGCTCAGGTCCCAGTCCAACCCCCTAAGCAGCACATGCATAGTTGATTCGAACAAACAAATCAGCAGACAAAATGATCCATTGCCTGTAATCAAATTCATGTCTAGCTGGACCACTGGCATTATGGTTCTGCTGAACCTGTCAAACCATCCCAAGACCTGGTAGTGGTTGGTATAAAAAAGTCCTAAATAAATAAAAAAACAAATAAACCTGAAGGTAGCATTTAGTCTGCAACAACTCTTCTTCCCTTGACTGTCACTATCAGCAATTAATTGCACCGACTGTACTAAGGAAGATGAAAGATGAAAATGCCCATTTTTCCGGCCCTCCTGGGAGACTTTTTATTCCCCTCCTCTCCTCTCCCTTTCCGTTCCTTTCCTTTCCGTTCCTTTTTCCTTGCATGCCATGTCTTTTTAGATTGTGCATCCTATAGATCATGTGCTGCTTTGAAAACCTTTTTGTCTGAGGAGAGGGGTAAAAAAGATTTCAATAAATGTAGCCATTGTAGCTAGTAGCCGTGGATCACCTTATTCCCATTAATATTATTTATTTATTTATTTATTAAAACATTTTTATGCCGCCCCATTCGCCGAAGCCTCTTTTGAATATCCCTAATCCTCTTTTGAAATTCTCTGTGCCATATAGATCGACAGTAGATAAGGCAGCAGATAGAACAGGATTGAATGGTAGCTGTCCGCTGACTTACGGGAAGTTTTCCATTTTACATGGTTTAATGATAACAATGCATTCCTGCCCAAATTAGGCTTACTGACATTACTAATAGCGGACCTATTTTCTGACAGTGGATCCGTATGTCCCCAAAACAACACTATGCCCAAGGCAAACCCAAGGCTGACAGAAATCTAAAACTCTTTCATGGGGCAGGGGGAACCTTAAGAAGGGGGAAGTCCCCAAAACTGTCCAATCGGGATTGAACATGGAAGGCTGGCCGGCTGTTGGAGGGCAGGGAAGGGTCCAAAAGCCAGATGGCTACTTGAAGACATGCCAAAGCCTGTTTTCCCTGAGTAGATGCCTTAGACATGAGCTGCTTTTGACTGTAAGAAACAAGCCTGCTTGCTTTCCCAAGAGGCTTTGTCTGCCCAGCCCCCTCCTCCAGAAGGGGGGTTAGGGCCTTGTGAACTGAGAGCCTCTAGAACAGTGGGAGAGAGGAACTTCACGAAATTTAGGCCAGAGCCATTGCCTTTTGTTCTCCGCTTGGGGAGAAGAATGCATGCAGTGCTCATTCCGGCAGGTTTGGTGGCCCACGGAGCATCTCCTGGCCAATTTAGAAACCAATATGGTCACAGATGTGGGGCTGTAAGTTAACTTCCACTTGGTTGTACCTGCTTCCCTATTTCAGCATTGCATTCAATAAACTGTATATCGTCTCTGAGACAAAGGGTTTTGCTTCTTCCTCAGTATCCCGAAAGGAGGTGCTCTGGTTGGGCCGGGCTCCTGGGATTAATAGAGTGGCCAAGAGATCTACAAAGGCATTGGAAGGACAGACTCTGACCAAGAGCAACTATTTGCTTGCTAGGCAAAATACATGCAAGAAATCCTGCATGTAGCGAGAGAAAGGGTGGGTAACCTTTCGTGTGATGAAGCGGCAAATTCTCTGTTTCTTTTTTCAGGTGTTGTATCATCTTCATAAAAAGGTGAAGAACGTTTCCAGGAAATCAGAGCAATCAAAAAGAAAGGTAAATTCAAAACACGACGAGCCAGTCAAAACTATGATGTTTTGTGGTTCACAAAGCAACTGTCCAAGCATGGTTTGTATCGAAGCTAAAGTATGAGTACTCTAAAATTATTATGCTGGACTTGCGTTTCTTTGAAAACGTGTGGAAATCTAGACTTGGGCGGGGCTATCAGCTGAATCATCTTATAAGCGTCTAATGACGGCTTGTGGGTTCGGTCCATTCCCCTTGCGACAGAGTATGAAATAATGGTGATATAATCAAATTGTCGCTGACAATTATCTCTTCGTGTGGGTGTAGTGAAGCTCAGTCTTTCCATCCATTCAAATATAAAGCCCTTGCGAAATTTCCTGTGCCATATTGCAATGCAGGGCGACATCTTTTGTTTGCAATAGTGACTCTCAAAGAAGGGACAGTCAGCGCAGGGAGCATTTGTGTACAAACCGTGAAAAAGACTCTGGCTTGTGTTATTACCAGGTCAGCATCAAAGGCATCTTCCCTTTATCTTGTTTTAATTTCCTACTTTTTAAAAATGCATGTTTCTAGCCCTCTGTATCTATGAGGATTGTTGTTGTTGTTAGTCGCAAAGTCATGTCCGACCCATTGCAACCCCATGGACAACATTCCTCCAGGCCTTCCTGTCCCCCACCATCCCCCAGAGTCCGCTCAAGCTCACGCCAACTGCTTCAGTGACTCCATCCAGCCACCTCATCCTCTGCCATCCCCTTCTTCTTTTGCCATCTATTGTTCCCAGAATCAGGGTCTTCTCCAGGGAGTCCTTCCTTCTCATTAGGTGGCCAAAGTATTTGAGTTTCATCCTCAGAATCTGGCCTTCCAAAGAGCACTCAGGGCTGGTCTCCTCTAGGACTGACTGGTTTGATCGCCTTGCAGTCCAAGGGACTCGCAGAGTCTCCTCCAGCACCAGAATTCAAAGGCCTAAATTCTTCTGCGCTCAGCTTTCCTTATGGTCCAGCTTTCACAGTCATACATTGCAACCGGGAAAACCATAGCCTTGACTATACACACTTTTGTTGGCAGGGTGATGTCTCTGCTTTTTACTATGCTGCCTAGATTTGCCATAGCTTTCCTCCCCAGGAGCAAATGTCTTTGAATTTCTTGGCTGCAGTCCCCGTCTGTGGTGATCTTGGAGCCCAGGAAAGTAAAATCTGTCACTATCTATGAGGATACATGGATGCATACATAGAAGGGAAAAAGAACAGAGGAGTTGGCCAGCAGAAGGACAACTGTACAAATTAAATATCTACAGTCTATGCATTTTACAGAATCCAGCTGATGTAACCCGCATTAGAATGTGATGCAAAACATCCTTAGACTATCTCAGCTAAGGATGGGGAACCAATGGACCCCTGCATGTTGCTGAATCACAGCTCCCAGCATCCCTGGCTGTTGGTTATGATGGCAAAAGCTTATAGGAGTTGGAATCCAGCAACATTTGGAGAGCCAGAGCATCTCCAGGACTGGCTGAATAGCAATGTCCTATATATTTCTACTTAGGGATGGCATCCCATGTTAGTATGGCTTAATCCCATGTGAATAGATATATGACAGCAGCTTTAGTAAGAAATTTGGTAGCACACGAACAATTCACCTCTAAAAGAAAGTGTTCTTTTTCTTAAATGCTCCTGAGAATAACTGTTCTTAGATACTGTAGGCACAACTCCGTGGTGATGCCACCAGGAGATTTGGCGATGCTTGGTCTGCTCCTCTCAAAATGCAACATCCCAAGCTGGAAATGGGGGCTGGAGGAAGGAGGGGAGGGGAAATGCCAGGGCTAGTGAGGAAGGCTGGCCGAGCAGCTGGTGAGCACCAGCGCCTGCTGGTGGAGGGAGACATGTAGACGGGGGGGGGGGGGGGGCAGAGAGGGAAGGCCATGAGCGGTCGACCCAGTGGCTCATCATTAAGCCATGCCCAACATTCCCTCTCTCTGGCCCATGAGCAGCAGGGCAGAGCCAGCCCATTGGTCTTCCCAGAGGGAGGAGGGGGCTCCTGGCACTGGCACGAGCCAGCCCCACCCACCGGCGATGCCTGCATAGCTGCTGCTTGTCAGCCATTCCGTTCTTACTCTGTACTGCAAAGGCCGCCTGGCTCAATAAAGGACTGTGCTTCGGAAGCCTTGCAGCTCGTCCTGCTGGACAGGGAAAGGAGAGAGGAACGCTCACGAAAGATAGGCCATACCCCAGCATATCTTAGTCTCCTTTGCTCCCCCTGAACAGCCTCTTCACACCAGCTGTGAGAGAGGAGGTAGATTTGAACAGAGGCCCCTCTTCAGCTCTTGGAGTTGGGAGTCTGAAATGTTCTATGGCCCTCTGGACACTGTCTGGGGGCCACAGGTTGCTGTGTAGGTACCTGAGCTCTACAAACATTCAAGACGTCTCCCCTTATTGCAAAGAAACAATTTCCATTCGTTTTTCTGAAGTCCCCCCTGCAAATGTAGAGGCTCTGCTCTGTGGATAGCATCATTTTACCATCCGGTCGCTAGGTGGCACTCGTGGGTGGGTTCACATGACACAACAAGCCATGGTGGTTTGTTGGTCTGTCATTCAAAACTCGTGGTGGGGTTGCAACATGGTTATGTTTTAGGAGCGGCAAACAGAAACAGCAGGCTGCTGCATACCATGATGGCTTATTTTCCAGATGCAGAAAACATAATTTTCAGAATGAGGGAACTGGCTTGGCAAGAAGGCGGTTACTGCTCTCGCCACGGCCCAGCCTGAGAGAACCACTAACCGCTCTTTGTGCGGCTGGCAAAGGTGTCTCCAATCCGCCTGCCTCCCGTCCTGAAAGTCTTCTTTGAGACAGGAGCAGGCAATTGGAAAGGAATGGCACCGCACAGCTGATTCCCCTGCGGGCCCACCACGCACAGGTCTGAGATGAGCCCCTCTGCTGAGAGAAACGGGCAAAATAGGTAGCCCCAAGGGTGCAGAGAGGGCCTTAAAACCAGCTTGATTTTTTCTACCGGGGCAAATTTGCACACTCTGAACAACCAACGAGACATGGGGAAGTTGGCACTGCGTCCAAACAGCACAAGTGCCCTTCACACAACTGCATGAGTGGAATCTTAGAAGGCAGCAGGAGGTGGGGGGCTTCCCCCTCATACGCATCCAGATGCCCCAGTCAAGAAGGGCCCAAGACTCTATTTGCAGGAGAGTGAGGGGAACACTTCCATAGTGTGACTGGCCCAGTGCTTTGGCTGACTGCAAAACAGAGGCAGCCCCCAGCAAGGGCGAACAGGGACGCTCCTTACCAAAGAGTGCATGCAAACAACAGAGAGCATCTTGCTCCTGGAGAGACCAGCGACCCCAGTGAACAGGCCAAATGCTTTTATACCTTAAGAGCCATCTCAGCAATCCTGGGTCATGTCCATCTCTCTCCATCTACCTTTGATCTTTCCTCTCTGTCTGCTGTTAGCGTTTGAAGGCTGTTTTTACTGCATCCCACATTTATCTGAACAGTGAACAGAGAAGACAGATGCGAGGCACTTTCTTCCCTGCATATGCCCTGTAATTCTCTCACTAGCGGAACAAAATTACAAATATGCTATTTCAGTGCAACTGTTTCTGCTCTACTAGTATTTCATTCACAGACACAAACACCTGCAAATTTCCTGTCTGTCAGTGGAAGATGTCCTGCAATCTTCCACACTGAACCCAGATTCTTCTGCTAGTGCAGGGGGTTTCCAAGTATGGGTCGAGAGGGACCACCATCTTGTCTTCTGCTTTAGCGAGGGAAATGTGTTGGCCAGTCCCGGAATCCTAATCCTTTCCCTCATACACACAACTTGTTTTTCATTCATGCACCAACCCAGCTCAGGGTCCTCCATTCATCACAGACACCGAGCTCTTTCAGCTGCGCCTTCAAACATTTAAACAGCTTTCAAGGAGAAAAAAACGAGGGGATTAACTGTCTTAGAAAGAATTGTGGGTGAGGCTGGAGAAGCTGGAAGTGAGCCTTATTGCTTGTGCTGCTCTTTCCAGCGTCACTTTGCAGATATACAGCATCTTACAGAAGTATTCCCCTGGCTGCTTTGAGTTTTTTCACATTTTATTGTGATAGGACCCAAAACTGAAAAGAATTTTATTGGCATTATTAGTATGTGATATACACTGCGAAGATGCAAAATAATTTACTGTGGTACCAATGTGACGTAAACTAACACCAACTGGAGTTTGTTGGTTGTATGAGTATCCACCCCCTTTGCTGTGGCCTGCCTAAAGCAACTCCAGCATAACCCACTGCCTGCCCCATTTCCTCCAGTCATCCAACATTTTTGGACCTGTGGGCACATTTGGGATTGAGAAACTGCTGTGGGTGCCGCCACAAAATGGCTGCCAGGAAGGAGCCCTTGTGTTGCTCGTGAGGGCTTGGCTGGTCTAGAGGTGGGAGACAGCAGTGGGGAGCTTGGAAGCTGGAGGAGCCGGGGAGGCCCAGTGCTCTCCTGGATTGGGAGCAGTTTTCTCCACGGTCGAAACGCCTCTCTGGAGCCTTAGTTCCTGGCAGTAAGTAGGAGCAATCCGATGACCCGAACATCTTCCAAGCAGCCATGGCCCGTTGACCTCCGGGGGGGGGGGGGGCGTTTGGCACCTCCTTGGTGCAGAGGTGGAAAGACCCGTGCCAGCCAGCCTCGGGGGAGACCCACATGCAAGTGTGCGTTTTTCATCTGGGGAGCCTGAGCCACAGATCTTTCCAGCACTTAGCATTGCCCGTCAGGGCAGCTAGGAACGCAAAATTCAGTTCTGCCCTTCTCCTGCCCTGCACTGGGTGATCAGAAGCTTCCACGTCCGGGGGCTTGGCAGTTATCAAGGGTGTGACCCACGGGACTGCACCCTGTGCTACAAAAAGGGGCATTTGGGGTCATCTTGCTCCCCCCACCCCGAAATCTTCTCCAAGAGGGAATGTGGTCCTTGAGCCAAAAGAGCGCCGTGTCCTGCTCCAGATCCAGGCAGAGGAGATGCTTGCAAGGTTCAAGGAGTCAGCAAAGGAGT